GGACAAATGGAAGGAGACTCCCTCACAAGACCAGCTGAATATCGCCTCCTCACTTCCCGACTCCATTCTACTGCATCCAATCGATCCCATCCCCCCCACAGCCCATAAACCAGTTTCGGAAAAAATTCCTCCACTCTATCGAGTAATATTTCTTCAAGACCTCAAAAATTCAAAGTTCCCTGGTTGGACCTTTGCCTGGGACCAAGCCTGGGAAAGCAAGTGGAATCAACTGCTCTCGAAATTTCTCCTCAAACACTGGAATCACGCTTTCAAGTCTGGGGCATTCAAAGCTTTCCACCTTGATCCTACAGAAACTTCTGAAGAGATCATACGCACTGGTATTCTACACCGATGGTTTCTGGGACGGAAGGATGGTCTTCGGTTGGGACATTTCTCTGCTGAACGTAGGAATGAAAAGAAGAAGTCTGAAAAGAAATCCAAATTACGATTACAAGTAAGAATTTTCTCAAAAGTCAACTTCATCTGGGCTATTACTGAAGAAAAACATCATCCTGATTTTCAGCTGCAGAAGCATAGACAGGAGACCCTCTCAAAACTGTCTGTATCCCTAACCGAGATGGAACTCTTTGATAACATCAAGTGTTGCTCCGAGACCGAAGCCACCCCAGGCAAAACAGTCAGGCAAATTCCCCTCCCTTGGCGTTCAGAAGAGTTCAACACCCTGGCCCGTCAACTGGACGAGATCAAGATCCACAAAACCCACAATACTAAAGGACTACACTTTGTCAATTCATTTAGTCTTGAACATAAGCGAGCTACCTCAACATCCTCGGTCGCAATATCTTTCCGCAATGTTCCACGCAATCTACCAAGAAACTGCTATGCAGAAGAATACCTAGCCACCTTGTCTGAGCTTGATGTCAAACTTCTAAATCCCAAGCCACCAATAGATTTTCAGAAGTTATTGTCCTTGACCAAAGTTTCGTGTAAGTAAATCATCTTCTTATTGCACCCTAATTTAACATGTTACTCATAAGAAGCTGTGCACACTCATAATCCTCATTTCCATGCGATGGTACACTCAGCCTGAAATTCAAAGTCAAGTACGTCCCAAAGAATACGTCAACTACTCCATGTATGGATACAGAGAGACCATTGAATTCTTACATTGCCAATTCCCCTTTCCTACTTTTTACCTGATGTATATTCATTTCCAGACTGCCTTGCACATAGTATCGGTAGACATGAACCTCATTTGTCTGTCCAAGGCGATAGAGACGATCTACAGCTTGATTTTCCATGGCCGGATTCCAATTCGGTTCCTTGAACATCAAAATTCTTATCAGCATATTCAGTTACACAGAAGAAATGATTCCTCCTTACCATCATGTACACATTTTGTGCACACCTCAAATCAATTCCTACCCCCGCCGCTTGTATTGAGCCTAGAAGAATGTTGCAGTTGGGATCTGTTCGAAATCTAGCCAGGTTCTCATCTCGTTTTGCTATACCTAAGGTCCCTATAAGCCATGTGCAACCCATTTGTTTCTCTTTGAGTGCCTTTTCAATTCTTCATCATGCCATACCTCATCAGTCTTTATTTAGCCTCTTTGACAAAATCTCCAATGAAGAATATCACTCACATCTCAAGAAAAGCCACAAAGCTCGAGAATACTACTGCTTTGGGCCTTAAAATCCCCCTTCCACCCCGCAAGAATCGCTCCAGGTTATCCACAAGATGGACCAGTTTTGCGGAGTCTTGCCATCGCCAGTTCTTTTGGTGAGGAATTTCGTCACGTGCAAAAATCGGATGATTGCAGAACTGCCGTATCATTGTCAGCTGTTTGAAAAATTCAGTCGAATCCCATGGCTCGCCAGATGATCGAAGCCGTCCAAAGTACTGAATGAATGATTGGTGAAACCCTCTTGAGAAATCATCCCATGGGCCACCCAAGCTCACAACAACCACGTTTTCTATCTTGGAAGGCAAATTCAAGAGCACATCCTTCGTCCTCCTCAAGCATACAGTTTCCATTAAGCGGTTCAACGTCTGAATGGCTTCTTGGGATCCAACGTTAATTCCAGGTATAAGGTGTGACTTCCAGATCCACTCCTGGTTCCAAGGCCAAATCTTCAATAGAAATATCAAGCTTTGGACATCGGTGAGTCGATTCTGGAATGGGGTTCCCGTCAGGCATAAGATAAATCTTGACTTCAGCTTTTGAATGTTCAAAGTCCTGTTGGCTGTTGGGTTACGAATCATACTACATGATTTGTAATGTCAGACTCGTTATTAACTGATAACTCAATACATGCACCAGGTTATTGTTACTTACTGAGCCTCATCCAATACAATTCTGAACCAACAGATATCCAGGGATTCAATGGTTATTTGATTGGTATGCAGTGGGTTTCCAGATGTTCCAACCATCTTGTAGGTTGTCAAAACAACAAGCGATGACAATAGCGATCCTCTGTCAATTCTTCCTCGGTCTCTTCCATGAAAGATACAGTAAGGTAAGGCTCCCCCGTCAAAGTGAATCTTGATCTCATTTTCCCAGTTTGACAAGGTTGCTAACGGACAAATAATCAGAGTGGCTGAAGATCGAACTAGATGGTTGTCGGAACCGCTCATCTGGAATCGGTTTGCCAAATGAGATGTTGCCAGAACTAACGCAAGGCTGGTTAACGTTTTTCCTAAGCCCATGTCATCAGCAAGTATGGATCCTCGGCTAGTAAATTGGTCTGTTTCGTCAAGTCGTAGTTCAGAAGGGTTACTACATCGTCGTATCCAACTATTGATGGGGTGGTTCCACAAGTCTTCAATTGTGTTTTGTTGGGTAGACTCGTTTCTCTTGAGGAAATTTAGAGCTGTGTATTGGTGGTCTTTCAAGGTGGTTACACAGTTTTTGAGAGTAGACCGAAAAGAATCATCCTCTTCTGGCGTGCTGGTGAGGGTTGGTGTAAACGATGTTTGGGGGATATTGAAAAAGAGGCTGGGATCGTAGTTCCAGATGGGAGAGAGATTGATTTGTGCCCGAGAGAAAGCTGATGAAATAGTGGCCTTGTTTGAGTCAAGACCAAATATGCATCCCCTCAGTTGAGGATCATTACAGGTTTTGGTAACAAGGAAAGCTCGAATCTTTATCAGGGATTTTTCAGAAGAGATCGTTCCTTCTTCTGTTATTGGTGTTGAGCAGCTGCCCACCCGACCTAACAATGGACCAAGGAACTTGCTTTGAACTTCACTGAGATCTCCAACCAATCGTCTTGGGTAACACCACACATGCACTCGATCTGTTCCTCGTTGTAGGAAGGCCTGTTGTGGGTGATCAGGGAGGGAATCTGAGGTAGGAGAATGTAGACGTGTGACAAATTGACCCAGGCATAGTGTGTTTGACATGTTGGATAGAAAAATCAGTAGACCGATTTGAGGTTGTGAAGGATGTGGGGGTTGGAATAAGGATGGGATGGTTGTATTTGTTACCTTTCTCTTATCTAGAATTTGGAAAGTTTTTCGGAAACACCCTTTACAACAACTCACAAAACACAGCCTTTGGTGCTTATTTTAACTCACTCACATTTGCTGCAGGGCATTGCATGATATAGTCATGTAAGCTGGAAAGTTCGGTAAACAAACTCCAGCACCTGTTGGATTGGTTTGGCCAATCGGCCAACTGCTACATTTGGTCCACAGATCAATCCAATGGAATGAGTTCATCATTTGGCTTTCAATTATCATACTCTTTAGTATATAGACATTACCAAAAGGTTAGGAGGTCTGGTAGCCACTAACTATGAAGGTTGTGTGTACATGACAATCACATGATATAGGCATTGGCGAGGGCTGGTTTAACTCACAAGCTTTCTCATATCTAGTGGGCTCTTGAAAAAAAAAATTCAGAGTATCTTACCGAGATAGTGCCTCACAACCAGGTGGGAAATCATATCGGTCAAGATACTGCAAGCTTGGTCAAAGCTTGGGATAAAGCACTGTTTGCTGTCAAGTTGAACTTGGTTTCAGCATAGGTCTGGGGTACATTCTACACATGTATTCTATGATATATCCAATAGAAGTTGTGGTACACATCAACATGTCTTGTAACCAGGTTGTGGTACATATCTTCCGTACATATCAACATGTGTTGTAACAAGCTTCCAACCAGATCTATGACCGAGTTCACTGATGGCACTTGAAAGCAGGTGCTGAGCAAACTCCCCTGGTGTCATTTCCTCAATTTATTTATTTTTCTTTTTCCCCTTCAAACTTCCAGTTGAGCAATCTCACCAACACCTATGAGCAACACTCAACACACCCAAACACAAAAAAAGCATAAAATCCCACAAAAAAACATGGAAAATACCAGAAATCCCATATCTGAGCAAGAAAATTCAATGCCTAAATTCCAATCCACCTGACTGTCCAGAAAGCTAAAACTGGTGTTTTTGCTTATTTTTGCTGCCAAAAGTTAGTTTTTTTTTCACTTTTCCTAAGTGTCAAACATGTTCCATCCACCAAATTCATGCATAAAAAGACAAAAACCTAACAATAGAAGCAGAATTTGTTCATGATTTGATGGTTGTACCTTATTCATACATGGTAGGTTAATATATAACTCTATGAGGAGAAAAAGGCCATTCATTCATGTTTGTGTGTACCATTTTGATTTGTTGGAAAACATTGAAACTCTTTGTTTCACTTTGAAATTTACAAATATGCTCATGAGACATACAGGTTGAATTATGAAAGCATACCGGCCCTGAAAATAATCCAGAGCGGGAATAACTGTACCAACTTATGTACATGGTTTCAAAAAGTTCAGGCATCATAACATGTGCCCATAACTTATAGTTCGGTAGTTTGTTATAAAAATGCCAAGATATCCTCCACAGCATTGTACCAGCATGTCATTGATAGTCAGCAAGGAAACCATTACATTTTTTGTCTTTTTTTCACAATCAACCTGGTAATTTCAAGTTTGATGAAGTTTTTAGCCGTACTCATTTGCTTTGTGGCCCTCTTGAGCAGCCGCTCTGCCATGCCGACACTGAAAACCAAATTGCTCACTTTCCATACTAACGGCAAGCCCGTCAACCTTCCAAGTGACAGCATACTCGCCGATCCCATTCTTCTCACAACCAAGGGAGCGCAAACTCAAGTTGTGGAAATCGATGGCAAGCAGGTCCTCAGGGCACTTCTGATTCGTGACGTTCCAAATGATGCCCGAGGGTTTTTGTATATCGAGGGGCTAGCTCAGGATGGGGAAGTTTCCTATGCCGTATGGTTACCGTCAGTCGCAGGTTATTTCATGAGGCCACGGGGGTTGCAGTCTGGAACGATACACAGATTTATCTTTGACAACCTAAAAAGCCACCAATCTCCGGTGATTCTAGTAAATGGGATCGTGGACGTTGGCCAATCGACCACGGGGAGCACACCAAGCGAAGAAGAACGACTATCAACATTGCTTCAATTGGACACTTTTTCGGAGTCAGCTCCCCAGTGATAGGTTGGTAGAAGGGATCGCATCTTCACCAAACGCTCTTATAATTACGGTCAACACCATGTGGCATTTCGGGCTACTTTGAAGAATCTCATTCAAATTTACCTATTGCCTTTCAAGTCAAATGATGGAAAGAGGGATCTTTCCATCAGATGAAAGTACAGTTTTTGTACCAGATGAATGCTGTAATCTCACCTAAAAAATCGAATCTTCCTTTATATTTTGAACCTCATCCATTAAAAAAATTGATTTCAGCTTTCAATGCATCTGAATTATACTTCACTTTTTTATTTTTAGTTAGACCAAGTTACTTTCCATAAAAAATTCAATCTTAAAAATTTTCATCTTTTTTTAAATCTCATGAATATTCCTCCAAAGCTGATTTCACTATTTAACTTAAATTTTCCTCCTGGTAGCTTTCAAAAACCTTATCAAGAGGTGAGATCACTTTTCAAGCCAACATTTGGCACCAGGGTTTTACATACTTGAATTCTTCACAATTTGCACAATTAGCTTATGAAAGCAAATTATTAAAAAATCATTATCTAAATGATGATAAATTTTAGGTATTTATGTTGAGGATATGGATATATTTTCTCATTGATGTAATTATCATCTAAACTATACTTGGCCTTAGTATATATTGTTGTCATCTTTATATTCTGATTAGTGAAATGATTGAATCACAATTTGCTCTTCTCTAGCTAATTTGATTTTCAACACAAAATTGCCTTCAATTTCAAGTGTATGATACATCAGCATATTTTCTTCTCATAGAACTAATGATATTCAAAATTGGAGGAGTATCATCCACCCATTGATTGAGCCAATATACCACAAAACAAAAAAAGTATAAGCTTGAATTGCCTGAAGACAGTTTCAGGAACAAAATTTTGACATGAAGCCTTTAATCATGTTTTTGTGTGTAAATCTCCATATTACCTGCTACCTGGATAACCCCTTTTCATTAATGAGTCAATACATTTTACTAAAATTTGATTATCCATGTATAACCTCTGCTTGTTCATCAGCCTGTGAAGCATAACTTGGAAGAACTATCTTCTTTTTGATTGAGTAATAGGAACTGATTTACTGGGATGAAATTCACCTAGTATATCAGGGTTGACAGCCTGACTCCCAATAGATGATAAAAAAGAGGTAAGAAGCAAAGCAGATGACTCTTCCAATAGCCTGGGTGGCTTAATTTTGATCTCTTTTCATCCTCTAGGCACCCTTTCCCTTGGTGATTGGGATGGTTGAAGGATTAATAAGTAGCAAAATTAATATCAAAATGGATTAAAAAAGGGTGTTTGATGCACAGATTGTTTTCTATAAAAAAGTATTGGAAATTACAAGAATAGCTGTTTGAGTGTTTCAAGAATGATGTAAACTGGGTACAAAGTTGATTCTAAAAAAGAGTAAGAAGACATAAGCTGGTGATTTATGCATAAACTTGGTAGATGATTGTTTTAAAAAAGCTTCAATAATCAGCTACTTGTATGCTTTGACCAATAGCATGCAACAAACATGATCCTTGGCAAAACTCAATTCATTAGTGGGGTTCATGATTCAGCTTGTGGATGCTTGTTTAAACTTAAAAATCTTGTTTGTTTTCACCTAGGATTTTGTATTTTGCTTGTAGTAATTGTGTTTTTAACAGTTTTTAAGCTTCACAGAAGGTCATGGGCCTACAGGTTTGGGATATGTATGAGAACTGCCAATCATGAGCCCTGCAGTTATCTCAATGTTGTTGAGTATATAATGTGACATGTTTCTTGTGATTTGGAGTCTGCTGGGTCTCGAGTAATCCATGCTTGAAAGCTTGGGCATGTAGACAAACAGCAAAGAAATCTGAAGATTCACAATAGAGTCTGCTGAAAATTTTCCAGTGATGACAGCTGATCCTTTTTTGATTTGTGAGATGATTCAACACCAGGGAAATCAATATCCCCTGATTACAGGTAACATACCAGATCACAAAGGACATTTTGTCATTCCTTCACTTGTCATTTTCCTGTTTCCATGGTTCTGATCATTGGGAGCTGTTTGAGGACAGTAATATAAATGTTATTTCATAGATGTGACATCTGATATGGAGTGCTATTTGTTTCTTGAGAGAAATTGTGATCCCTGGGCTCGAACCAGAGAGGATAGCAAAGTGCAAAGATACTAAACAAGCCATTTTAGAAATTTTTTGGTAGTCTGATGATCTTATGTGTGCCATCTAAAATAAATGGTCCCCCAAAGTCAAATCCAATCTTCATCTTTCTGATTGTTCCCAATCCAATGTAGGGCACACTATATCTCTTCCAAAATGCCTGCAGTGAGTTGTACATTTCACCTTGATATAAATTGAAATAACTTTTCTCCCTCCGGAGAAGCCATCTACTATCAGGACCTAGACTAGTCCCTGTCAAACCAACTCATGCAGCAGTGCACATATCCAAATGGTTTTTTTTTGCAAAATGCTCCTCATGAAATTCATCAGTTATGTATCAGATTTGCCTTTCTTTGGTAAATGGTCCTCATGAATCTAGAATCTTTTTGGGGTATTCCCACCAAAAATTGCATTTTTTTTAGCTACAGCAGGCTACAAGCTGCAAGGGGTAGAAATTTTGGATGTCTCACAATTTTTTTTTGACCTACCACCCTCACAATCATCCTCATTTAGGTAGAATCTAAATGCAGCTTTGATTAGAAAAAAACATATTTCTCTATGTATCCAAAACCCAAATTTCCTGGCAATTACACGGGTCGGTTTGACAGGTACCTGCCAAGGTCCCCTACCATCTGTACTTGCAAGTTTGTGCAGGAAAAGGTTGTGGACCTGGAAAGCCTTCATCGGAGTTTGGGTATCGATTCATAATGTGCCATCGCCTACAACTGTACTCGCCAGCGGAACAGATGCGAGACAGGGATGTGATATGTGGTGCCGGCACACCCCCGCTCTGCTCGAGATACTCTAAATTTTGAAACAGGCGACATCTCCTGTGACCTTGTCCGGCTCGGGTGATGAGAGTCGCAAATCTCGGTCGGACTGTGTGAAACCTGGAACATGTAGCTCGGTTTTTTTGACACGGTTAGGTCTGAAATGCGATTGCGCGGCAGCAAAGGGGCCCGACTCGGCCATGGGAGGCTCCAACTGTCTACCGCACAGCTGCCCCGATCAACCCCCCCAGCCCAAGCCAAGCCAGCCGACGGAACCATCACTCGAGGGAAGAGCAAGAACCCAAGACCCAAGGACAAGTTCGGTCTGACTCAAGAAACAACAACCGAACCGATTAATTGACAAAAGGTAAATTCATGAACTCTTAAGTCCGAACACAACTATCATCATCGAACCACGCCCGACATTGAATAAGCCAACCAAACAGCCATATCCCATCGATCCCGTCGGTGCTGTTGTGACGAGCTGACTGGCTTATCTACGGACTCATCACAACCTTCACTCACCCCGGTCCTAATTATCATGACTGACAAACCTTTCGCTGCTCCCCCTCCCCCATCCCCTAGGTAGGCGTCATGAAAGTCGAAACTTGCTCTTTCTCCGGATACAAGATTTACCCCTCAAAAGTTCGCCTGACCTCACCTCGCTCGTCTGATCGGTTTGAAAAGATTCACTGACTCATCTCTGTCCTGTTACCCTGCTGTTATCCTGCTAGGGTAAACTGTATGTACAAAAAGACTCGAAAGTCTACCGTTTCATTCGGTCCAAGGAAGAAAGCCTTCACCTTCACCGAAAGAACCCTCGAAAACTATCATGGACCGTTGTCTTTAGACGTGTCCGACGCAAGGTCAGCTTCTCCCCCACCTTCCTTTCTTGAGCAACATCCGTCCAAACCTGACCCGTTTGGTTTCCCCGTTGATTTGTCCAGGGTGTCACCGAAGAAGTAGCCAAGAAGAGGTCGAAGAAGTCCATCAAAGCCCAGAGAGGGATTGTTGGTGCCGATCTTGCTACCATCCTTGCCCGACGGAACCAAAAGCCTGAGGTAAGCTCGCTCCCACGCCACTGAAATGTTTGTGGCCGCATCTAAGACAATGTGGTCATCTTCTCTCAGGTCCGAACCGCCCAAAGGGAAGAGGCTATCCGAAAAGCCAAGGACGAGAAGAAGAAGAAGGCTGAGGCTGCCAAGAAATCGGTAAGTAGTTATGTCATGCTTCACTATCGGCAGTTTTCTGACTTTGTATTCCACAACTCTTTCCCTATTACAGGCTGTCAAGGCTCCCATGGGCAAATCAACTGCTCCCAAGGTATCCAAGCAGCAAGCCAAAGGAGCTAAGCCTGCTAACCGATGAAATGATCAAGCCACCCCCTCCCTTAACTTGAAATGAATTCGCAACTATTTTCCCAGACCGTCCGTCATTTTGCCTAGTTTAATTGACCCATCAGCATCTACACAAGGTCTTGTCTCTCCTGAGAACTCCGGCTCTACGTCACTTGAGTGCTGCTGGGGTGTGATACCGGTGCCGTCCTGCTAAGTGGCAGAGCGAGAGCCTATACTCTGCAGGGCAAATGAACCTAGAGTATAATTCACTGAGCTTGAGATTTATCCAATCAGAAGTTGGCCTTCCACACATTTTATCGAGATTTGTTGAGACACATCTTGCAACAGCTTTTCAAGAAAGATTTACTGAAGCTGATGCTGATGTGCCACATACCTAGTAACTTAACCCCAGCTTGCCTAATGACATTCTTGGTAATTCATTGTCTGGAATTGAGTAAGGGAGGTGTCCATCTGTTCTTGCTACATTAAAAAAGTATCCATACCCCCCCCCCCAAAAAAAAAGAAAGAAAATGAGCATAAAATCAAACACGGTAATCTACCTAGAGGTTAATTGCCATGTAACTTGTGTTGTAGCTTGTGTGTATTCCAAAGTAAATGTTTCTGCACAGTGGAGGACTTCCTGTCGCCTAAATCACTTGATCTAGAAGGGGGTCCTAAACTCTTGGCTGGTGAAAACTTGATCTTGATCAATTTTTGCCAGCAAATAATGTTCAGGATGTCCTTCTAAATTAACAGATTTGGACAACATGAAGTCTTCCAGTAACTGTGAAATGTGAACCATGAATTGAAATTCAATGTACAGAATGACTGAAAATTAAAGTTTGGCTGAAGTACACTTCAAACAACAAAGCACTTTTCAAGAGAGTTTCTGGTACATTTGAACTGGCAACAGTTTCTCTAGAATTTTCTTTCATAGTGAATAAAATGTGTAATTTCAAAATATCTTTCAATCTAATTATGGATTCTAAAAGATCCTTCAGAGTAACATAGACTGAACTGTCCCTAAATGTGATGCTTATTATCCCCACATCTGATTATCTTCACTGGCCCCCAACTAGTTGACACAAGTAGCTCTAACTTAGCTTACCACAATCCCTCATTTTTTGGGAGTTTAAGCATTCTCAATTGTCAGCTTTTCTCCAATCCAATATAATCCTTCAGAGGAAACATAAAAAAAAAAAATCTGGCACAGATTTAGGGGGGATCAATTATAGTCACCTGCAAGTAACTGGATGTCAAGGTGGTTCATTCTGAATCCAGTCTCATGATGAAAAAAAGTTGTAACTTCATGCTGGAGCTGCCAGTTTTGCAGGACAATTTGACCAATCTGGATGACTGATAGTGGAGGACTTCCCTTTGATTTTAGAGCCCACTGTAAAGCTATTCTTATACAGGCTGTAAAGTTGTTTTCCCAACAAAAATTCTACCTTTTCAGCCTGTTATTCTACCTTTTCAGAGCCTGTTGAACCAATGGGAAGTCCTCCATCAATACTTCTCAAGAGTTGAGTCATGTACATAGATGGAAACCTTACCCAAGTTATGGTTCAAAATTTGATCAAACTTACATTCTTTGAAAAAAGGTTTGATACTTGGACTCCAACAGCAATCTCATCCAGCTAGTAGTTGAATCAAACCTGACTTGTTGTATAGAAAAATGTTTTTTTTTTTGGATGGAGCATGTCTTTTTTACATTATTCCTGGGACCACAGCATGGAAACCCCCTTTGAATGCGGGTAACAAACAATCACATTGGCAAAAATTGAAAATGGTGTGCACCAAAAATGCAGGAATCAGGGT